CCCCAAAACCCCAAAACCCCAAAACCCCAAAACCCCAAAATCTGTTTATTAAAAGTTTAGGCTAGAACGGTGAAAATTACACAGGGGATTCAGTATTTCTCGGAAGAACTTTCCAGCCAAGCTTATGGTGAATGGTAAACCATCCAGCAGCCACAAGGTTTAGAGATGGGAAACAGAAGGGGACTAGGACGCTAGGTGGTTTATTAGGAGAGAATTGACCGTTTTGTGTAACTCTGTGTTTTCTAGTCTCATATCATTCATTTTCTCCTCGAGAGTCTTGATTTTAGTATTGTACTCTATGAACTGTTTATAAACAAAAGTATCCAGGTGAATGCCCCCTGGCTTTTGGATGGGGTTGAGGATTTTACAGGAAGATCAATATGCGAGGTCGTGCTTCTTGGCCTCTGGGACTAAAGAGCTTGGAGTACTTCTCCTCCTGTTGAAATGCAGCCATTTCTGGCCTTGAAGTTCAATATCTGATATATACGAAGATTCTAACATTTTATTTTTCTACTGTCTTTTTAGGAATTTGAGCGGATTGTGTAATTTTATCTCTAAATACAGTTAGCCCAGTCTAAGACTTATTTACTCAATTAATCTCTTCTCTGGAGTTGGGCAGACTTTCTTCCTTGAGTAGCAGCCTCTAGGAGAAGCCAACCCTGATCTGACGATTTTGGTTTTAATTTCCTTATGTTTCTTGATATATTTATAGTCAACCGGCCTTTGCAGTATGTATCTTTTAAACTTATTTAGGCCACTTCTTTCTATATGATTGGTTATGCTACGTAGTTAATAATTTACAAAATTTGTGATTTCTTGGGCCAGTCTATATCATAGCTGTCAGTCCTTGATTCTTCATTAAAAGTAAGAGCACTCTTGCACGGAGCCAGAATCGGTTTATTTCTAGAGAATTGGTGATGAAATTATATGAGAGATGCTTACTTCTTAACAAACTCTTCTTCTCGGTTAGAGATAGTCTCTGATAAGTCCTTGTTGTCCACCTTGGTAAGGTTCAGAGAGCATCTTGATGATCACTGAAGGGAGAAAGTGGAAATACTGCTCTGTTTACTTTGTCCTTTTTCTTCCAGTATTTAAGGAGCTCTTGGTAGTGAAGGTTGAAACCATTGGTTTATTTACAAGGATTGAAGAATGATCCCCGAAGGTAGTATCCTTTATACACTGAGCACCTTTAGTCAGGAATATATTTTGCGAGTAATAACTATTGGGACTTTCGTCAGCACATTTTTGACAAGAAGCAGGAATCTCAGTAGAAGCTGTGCAATTAGTAACACTTTTATGGAAAGGATAACTCTGAGTATTACAAGCATCCAGAAACTGTGCTTTTTCGTCCTCTCAATCAGTCTTCTTTTTAACTTTCGGAGAAGGAGATACTACTTCCACAAAACTAACTCCCTGGCCTATCTTAGGAGGTTGGATATTAAATATCTTCTGCATTACTTTTTCTAAATTTATTTCTATTAGCTAAGTCCATCTAGGGGTTTTGGGGTTTTGGGGTTTTGGGGTTTTGGGG